AATCAGACATCCTACAGCCAGTGAGCGAGCCCTGCCTGGGGAATAAATACCCCACAACGAGTGAAGCAAATGCTTGATGAGGGTGCAACTACACATGTTTGTAGGTGGCGTTCCCAGAGTGTTCCATCCTGTCTAAGAGTCTCCCGAAGCTAATACGCACTCCTAGGAAAAGCTGCAACACAGTGACTTGTAGAAGCTGCTTTTAAGGAAAAAAGCGGATGTTAAGACATAAGGTACATGCACCCAATCAGCCCACACCACCTGCCATCAAGCAGCTGCTGGAAAGTCTTGTCCTTCCCCACCACAAATGTGTTCCATGTCCATTTTCGCCCTTTAAAGACAGCTTTTTGCCTCCTGTATCCCTTCAGTCTAATGGTATTTACCTGTCTAAGATGCTGACAGTGGAGATGGGGTCCTTGACAGTGGGGGTCATCTCAGAAAGATGAGGCTCCAGCAGTACCTTACACTTATCACAGCTCAGATCACGTGGTCTCTGGACCACCATTCTTAAACATCCAATCTTCTGAAAGTCCTTTTAACCAAAGAAAAACACATTTCCTGTTTTCTGTGCCAGAAAGAGGGCACATCTGGAAGTGTGACGAGTTGGAAAAGTAAGTTACCGTCAGTATAGCAAAAGCAGGAGAACAGTAGAGAGAGGCAAGGATGGCTCCCTCTCTTGCATTCTTGCGCCGGAAGAATTCCCCCCACCATGGGGTCTAAGCCATCTTATTTGTCCCTCTCTTGTGGTATTTATCAGCATCTATCTTTTACCGGAGTTTTATGTCTTACCTGCCAGTGAGCGTAGAGTCGGTGTCTGATTAAAGAAATGAAAGAGAACACCTTTCTCTTTGGCTGTCTCTCCTTGGGGGAAGTCTGGTGAAAAGAAGGCATTCAGCTGAGAAAACAGAAAAAAATCAACTACAGTCAACCATTTGTTATCTATGTGAATAGAAGAGAAAAAAAAACGCCAATAAAATTTGTTTTACAACAGCATCATCCCTTCAGTGGTGGAATGACAGGTGAAACAAAGTGGCAAATTCATAGTTTGGTAGCTCTGGGGTTTGGTGTGTGAGGATGGAAAGGGCAGCAGTGGGAAATATGGCAAGTGAGGGAGGCAGGTTCCAGGGCACAGAAAGACTTCCGTGCCTGTACTTTATCCTGAACGCTACAGAAGCCACGTGGACACTTTCCCTTTTTGAGTAGCTTGGCAGTGCTCACTTCGGCAGCACAAACACTAAAACTGGAACTATACAGAGAAGATTAGCATGGCCCCTGCGCAAGGATGACATGCAAATTCGGGAATAGCTTGGCAGCAAGGCGGAGAATGGGTTTGAGGGAGGCAGACCAGAAGGAAGGAGCCTGGAGAGAAGACAGCAGCCCCAGAAGGTGAGGCTGAGCTGAGGAGGAGATGAATTCAAACTGGCTGCAGGAAGCAGAATCCACAGGACTGGGTGACTCCAGGGGTCTTGCTTAGCTACTGAGAGGCTCAGAAACACGGGGGGAAAGGGGATTATCAGCTCACATCTGGACAGGTGGAGACATCCACAGGCAGCACCCCACAGGCATATGTACATGCGGGTCTGGGCTTAGAGATGGGGAAGTGTGCAGCATCTGTTTATAGAAGGTGGCCAGCAGTGTGCGTGGTGAGCTCCTCTGGGCAGCAGGTGGTAGGCAGCCAGTCTGAATTCATCTCCTAAGAACCCTGCCACTTAGGGGTGTTTTCTCCTTTTTCAGTCATCCCCCCAGGAATTCCCTCTCTAAGGAGTCAAGGTGAATAAAGCGTGTGGGGCCAGTGGCCATGACCACCAGAAGTGAAGTGCAGGAACCAGGGATACCCCGCATCTCAGACAGCCCCCAACAGAGAGCCAGGGTCTGTCTGAACATGGAACAAGACCTGGTGGCAGGGTCTGTGTGTGTTCTAGAAGAAGGCAAAGCCCACCCAGTTGGCTGAGAATGATTCGGCAGAAGTTAATTAGGTCAAGTCATTTCTGCTTCAACACAAGCACCCTCCATCCTCACAGCCCCTTCCTCAAGAGGTTGTGCGGTCCAGCCACACACCCACTAGAATGGTGTGGGGCCAGCGGCGCACGGCAGGGTCAAAGCCAGCTCTTAGACCCCAGCTCTGCCGTTCCCTCGGCGGAGAGCCGGGACAAGTCAGTTAACCTCTCTTCACCTCGGTTCCCTCATCTGTGAACCAGACATGGTGCTCATGGTGAGGATGCTGAGGAAGGTGGTGGTGGTGACAGGGTCAGCACCTGTCTCGCTGGGTCGTGGTGAAGCTTAAATGAGCTAAGGTACGTAGGTTGCCAAGAACATGGCGTTTGGCACGTAGTCAGTGATACGTAAATGTTAGCTGTTAGTAGCTGATTGGATCATGAAATTCCTCCTTCCGACATGATGAGAATCAACAAAGCAGGAGGTGAAATCACTTGACAGAGAAGTGGAATTCAACCGTGGGGGACGATGAAAGGAGGTTTGACCTGGAAGATACCTGAAGATCAACCTGCAAGAGCCCTCGTTTTGTATATGAGGACACCAGGTGTCTGGGCCAGGGAGTTGCTGAGACAGTATCCTAAAGACAGTGAAACATTATACAAATGCAGGGTGCCAAAGCCTTTTCATCTCTCTCCAGCCCATTTGCTTCCACCATGCCTTTGGGGGCTGCAGCGTCCCTTTCCCCCGCTTCACAAGTTCCAGTCCCGCATGGTTCCTCATGTTCGGTGTGGCTAACCCCAAACACCACTCCCCCCCCCAACACCAGTGCCCCTTCTCCACATTTCCTACACCTGGCAGCGGGCGTCCCCAGTCTCCCAGCATTACCTCCTTACCAGGGTCCTCTCCTTCCCCACATCCAGGAGTCGGCATTTCCTGCGCTCTGTGGCTGGCGGCTCCCCCTCCTGATTCCCCCTGCACCCCTGCCCCACTTCTCGCCTCTACTCCAGCCGCTGAGATCAGGCCCAGCTGCTCTGTCCTGTCTGACTCGTCCTGCAGCCCTGCAGCTGCACATCTTATTTAAATACTCTTTCCTTGTGTTCGTCCCCTGCTCAGAAGCCCTCCTTACCTTCAGAGGGATGACTTACAAACCATCCGGCCCAGTCTTCCTCCCCTCTTCCCCCCTTCTTATGCTTGGGCCACCAGTGAATCTGGACTCTCTGACATCCCTGAGCAGTCCTAAAATGTCCACTCTTGGCCCTGGAACACACCGGCTGGCTAGAGGGAGGTCTGTGAGGGTGGAGAAGGAAGCAGCAAGGCTTCCACACAATAAATACAGGACACAGGAGGGCTGGGGCAGGGGCCCGGGGCTGCCCCCTGCCACCGACAGCCCTTCCCTCAACTCTCCTCCTCCCTTTCGAGGCTGCCCGTGACATTGTTTTAGTCAGGGTTTACCTGGATGTTTACATGTTGAGCTTGGGTTACCTAGTGTGCTTGCCCAGACCAAACACACCCCCCGGGTAGGTGAACCTCCAGTCTAACAGGCCCTCAACTGGAGATGACCCCCTAAGTCTTCACAACGAGCGCACCACCACCACGAAAATAGACCAGGTACCTCTTGGGCACACAGGGCAGCAACAGTCATTACCATGAGGGAGGAAGCTGGTCCTCTTTCCTTTGTTTTCCAGAGTTTTCTTTCATCCACGGGATCAGCTACTGTAACTTTGGTAGGTTTTAAAAGAAAAGTCTGTGGCTAATGGGAACCAGCCCCACATGGCTGGAGAGTGTTTCATGGGTGTTGACAGTGGCATCTTGTACAAACAAAACAGATGGCCCTGGGAGAGCAAGGACACCAACTGCCCTGACTCTTCTCTAAAAGAAAAGGACAAAACTATGAAAAATCAAGTCATGGGATTACTCAGTATAACGGGCAGCAAGGCATTTCTCTTAACACTTCTGAGAGCACAGTGCGTTGGGAAGGCGAGCAACCCTCTTCCTTCTGATGCCTCTGAAAGCAAGGAGAGCAAGCTTCCCTAAGGGGACAGACACCAGGCTTGAGTCCAGGACCTCCACACAAGTTCTAGAAGGTCTGGAGCTAACTTAAGTTGAAGTGGATATAGATTTGTCCCAAAGCATTTTCAGTTATGGGCCTATGTTAATAAGGGTCTACGTTAGTAAGCAGGGCTGACTAGTTGGGATTTATAAGTCAAGAGAGAAAGGAAGTCTAAAAACCAGACTATTATCTCTAGAATGTGGGATTACAGTGTTCTCTCAATTTCTATTTAATAGACATTCCCATGGTTTGGGAAGTTTGGGATTTTGGCTGTTACCTTATTGTAATATTCTCTAAATGCTAAGATGTTAATATGTGGATAATAGTTGGTCAAACTTCTAGGTAGGATTTCGAACATCCTAAATGTCTCTCTCAATCCCGACATGCCCTGAGGCCCAGCTATCTTTTGCGGTTCATTGCCAGGCACGTCTGTGTGGAACACTTAGTAATATTTGTATTTCTAAAAACCTCACTGCAAATCTATGACTTGAGCACATCTTAGTCACTTTACCCTAATTTACCTCCCTAAGTCTCCTTCCTCATCTACAAAGTGGGAATCATATTACTTCATTGAAGAGGTACAAAAACTAATTTAGACACTATTAATGGAAGGGGAAATTGCTCTCTCATCAGGCCTAGTGCCCAAGGTGAAGGTCTTAACGTGTGTCCTGCTCCCACCCTCTCCTCTTCTTCTCTCTACTAGTGGACATCACTCCCCAAAAGCTCTGGGCAAGATCTAAAGGCAGGAGAGGGTAGGAGAGCATATTCAAAGACCTGTTTTTCTCCTTAAAACACATTCATTTGAATTTTGGATCCAAAAGTTATATGCCTAAAAAATTCATTACCTCTGTTTTAACTATACCAGAGCCTTAGAAGGAAAAGATCTTCCCAAGAATCTAAGAGACCACCACTTAACAGTATGTTAGCTGCAAAAATTTCAGACTTTTCTCATGAGTGTAAAGTTTAAATTTGCAAAAGAGAAGCAAATGGGAATAAAGACATTCACAGCAAGCTATTTCATAACCGCTAGTTATCATTTACACATCAAATACATACAGCATTGAGACCAAATGTACAGAATTTCCACATTTATATACAGTAATCAACATAGTGCACAATTCAAATCTATCTTACAATCAAGTGTACAAGTTTAAATATGGCTTTATAAACTACTAACAATAACTGTGCTAAAGTAACTCATAGGTCCAGAAATAAACACTGGAATGCCACCTCCACATTGAGGCCCTTGTTCAGCAAGATGCTATTCGTTGTGTTTGCAAAACAGATGGTGTAGGTAAATACTTCCAGGCCGTGTCCACCCATCAGCCCCCAAGCAGCTGAAATGTGGGTTTGAATGATACCAACATCGGTCCTTCCTACCTCAGATATCTGAAAATGAATCTGTGCATCTTCCACACATTTGGAGACATGGGGTTATAAAGAAATAGAAGAGAGATATATAATCAGTGAGATGGTGGGTACCAGGAATTATCGGAACATGCTTTTCAGATCGGTACTGAAATTCTCAAGCAATGCATCCCGTCTTTGCATTATTTGTTTCTCCCCCTCCTATGTTTTCTTATTTTGCTTAAATCCATGGACTGTGAAATCTTTCAGAAATTTCCAAAACATTCTAGATCAAGTGGTCCCAAAAAACAGAATGAAAAATAGCTCGTGTAAAGGGGACATCTCTTTCTTCACTATTCTCTTCCCCAGCCAAAAATGCCCGTTTTAAGTAAAAGTAAATACACACATACATACATTCCTTGACCTGCGATCATGCGCCCATGCCTATTTTACAGCCACTTTGCCACAAATGTTACATAGACATTCTTTCATCGATTGCAGCCTTCTAGGCGCTACCCTTAAATACACCTTGCCCCGTTCCCTAAACTCTACTGAGTACAGAAGAATAGTCTTTGAAAAATTCTGTTTGCCATGGTTTTTAATGTACATATCAGTGCAGCAGTGTGTGCAGTGTGTCTGTGTGTGTGTGTGTTTACAAATAAATATACTAAAGGGCAAGCTCAGAAAGTTTTACCGGGGGGTAAATGAGCAGAAAGGTTTGGAGACGCTACCTCCATACGGATCATTTGGGGTGTCTCCCTTTAAAAGACATCTATAAAACAAATATACATTCCTTTGTACATTTTATATTTATAAAACGGAAACCAGACGCCACAAACCCTTTTGAGAAACTAGAAGGAAGCTCCAGAGTCAAAGGAATGGGGTGGCAGCCAGTGCTCCGCTCTCAGCTGCTCCCCTACTTCCCAGGCTTGGCTTCAGGTAGGACAGTCCCGGAGCTTGAGCATATAAATGAAGACAAAGATCAACGTAACTTTAGCACTTCCTGCACTGGTCTTGTATATCCACAAACAACCCTGCCCCACAGATTGCATGTGTTTTTGACTGATGAGCCTGGATGCTGTACTGTGATACTAAAGCCACCACTGAGACAACTTCTGATGTGCCTGACACATTCTAGCACAGCCATACCACATGGCTGCCTGAAGCCGTCGCATCTGTCACCTCCCACTCCACGAAATCCTAACACCACCCGATGAAGGATTCAGACCCTCATCTTCCCGACCATCACCACCGTGTGAGTTGTCAGACGCTCTGCATGATGCACATCTCTGGGGAAAACACATGTTTACGATAAGCATGATCCCGTGAGATGCATTACTTGAGGTAATCATTTTGACAGGAGGAACACAAACATGTCGCCCCTACTGAAGCAGAGATGTCTCAAAAATTTGAGCACTGTTTTTAATCTTATTGCTGCAAGAGAAGTCAGATACAATTTGTTTAAAGTAAAAATACAATCATTTGGACATGGTTTGTGTTTGAATAAGCCAAATGGGATCTCTCATCGAGAGACAGAAGCAAATAGGACACAACACTTCCAATTCTGAACTGTTAAAGGGAAAAGTCCACAGATTGCTGTTCTGTTTTGTTTTGCTTTTTAAGAGGAGGGTAAATATCCAAAGGATTTCTCTTTCCTAGCCCTCCACTGAACAATTGTATTCTCTCTGCTATCTGTTTAGACACAGCTAATTAACATGGCAATTCAGGAGCTAAATCCTATTGTTTTTAAAGCCATAGGTAATTTTTAAAAACACTAAAGAAAGGAAAAGGTTTAACTATCATTGATAAATGAGTTACTCTATTCCGACCATAAAGTAAAAAAAAAAGATGCTTGCTACGGGGGGAGGTGAATTAGTCATACTTAGTAATACTACTTTTTATAAAATTAGCCATTATCATAAATATATATTGTTCTACAATTGGTGGATTGTTTCAAAATATTTAAAGCTGCAATTAGAGACAACAACAATTTTTAAAAATCCAAGAAGGCCATCACGTTCATTGCTGACATTATTTAATTATGTAAGAACACTAAAGTCTCTACCAATCTTTTATTCTAGGTAACTTGTCTCTCCCATTAAAATGATCACAGTGGGGGCGCCTGGGTGGCTCAGTCGTTAAGCGTCTGCCTTCGGCTCAGGTCATGATCCCAGGGTCCTGGGATCGAGCCCCGCATCGGGCTCCCTGCTCCGCGGGAAGCCTGCTTCTCCCGCTCCCACTCCCCCTGCTTGTGTTCCCTCTCTTGCTGTCTCTCTCTCTGTCAAATAAATAAATAAAATCTTTAAAAAAAAAAAAAATGATCACAGTGTTGGTGCTGGCTAGACCACATTCATAAGTTAGTTTATTATTGCAATGGGCCCCTCTATTTATCTACAAGTTTTACAATTTAGGACAATAATCTTCTTGAAATTTGAGCATCCCACTTTGTCATAATCTAGCCAGCAACGGAAGTTTCAGAGAGCCTTGTTCTGGGGACAAGTCCCCTGCCTTGGCAAGAGCAAGAATGCTTGAGGGGGTCACAGTGTCAGCCCCAAGAGAGCTGAGTCACTTTCCTTTAAGCTATTTTTCAGTTTCCTCTGTAACCATCTGTAAAGACAAAGGCCAACATGTTACTCATTCCAGTTATCTTATCCTGAAGGTTAAGGAACCTTAACTATCTTTCAGATATTCTTTGAAGTCAGGGACTAAAAACCCAGGTTTCTGGTAAGGAATTCAAATGAAGAAAACATTCATGATGTGTTTGCATTTACTCCTGGCACTAGCAAGAGCGCTCCAGGCAAGTGGGACCTCCTGCCCCACCCACCAAGGGGATCCTTTCAAACTTCGCCAAGTTTCACCCAGTCCACTGGAAGCAACTGAATAAAGGTCAAGCACTCCACAATCATACATAATTGATGGCTGGACCTATTAAAGATGGGTTGCCAGAGTTCAGCATTCAGACTTAGAAGTATTTGTCATCAAATGTACTTTCATCGATTCTTGTTCAACTTAAACAGCACTGCACGTAAAGGAGAGCAAAGGATCTTGGATCGTGGTCAGGAGCAATAAAAATAACTTCACCCTGTAAAAAAAAAAAAAAAAAAAAAAAGACAACGACAACGACAACGACAGAGAAGAACCTGAGTAGTTACCTATCAACAAAGGCACCGTCCTTTTATTGAAAGTACACTCAACAATTATCCTATGAATGAATAAATGAATAAATGAATGGATGAATACAGGAAAATGTGATTGTGCAGCTCTTGTTCCTATAAGGAACAATCCAGCCTCTGCTCTCCTCCCTGAAGCCCCCAGCTGGTCAGCCTACCCATGCAGAAGGGGTGGGTTCAAGAGCGGATATGAAGCTCACGTGGCCCTGAATTGATTTTGATAAACCAACTTTTTGGATGGTTTAAAGATAACCGACAAAAACAATAACAATAAAACCCTGTCAGTTTCAAAATGCCAAATCTGTCAAAACAAAGCTATTTTCTCAATTAATGTAAGACAGCTCTTCTTCCTTCCTTCCCTGTCACTCAACACGGATAATAAGAGATTGCTTTTGCACACATGTCCCATACCAATTTTTCTCCTCTCTGAACAGGTCAAAGGCAAGAAAGAATGAACACTAACAACGGTCACTTTTAAAGACTCTTTATACAGAAGGCTTCTTCAACTGGGGTCCGTGAGCCCCCTAAGGAATCCAGGGATGATTTCAGGTCTCTAAATCTGAACTTATATGTAACATTTTGTATATTTGCATATATGTATTTTTCTGGTAATAAGGTAGAGGATTTTCATAGGATTATCAGTGGCATCTCTGACATCAATTTAAAACCACTACCTTTTAGTGTGTGTCCTGCTTTTGGGCATACCTTTCCCGTGCAGCCATCAGGGAAGGAAATGATGAGTGCTGTGTTTCCAGAGGAAGGGGAGACTATAATGAGCTGGGAAGTCTTCTTGCAGAACTCATGAAGCTGGGCCTTGAGAGGTGGGCATGCGTTGGGCCAGTGGACGGGAAGGGCAGGCATTTCAGGAGAGAGGCTAGCATAAGCAGAGGCGGAGTGGGGACATGAGGCATGTTTAGGCAACGGCAAGCAGACCAACCTGGATGCACTGGATGGCTCACATGGAGGAGCCCTGGCAGACACCCCAGGAAATGAGATGAAGGAAGAGGTGAGAATACCAGGCCCCAGGGAGTGGCCCTCACCCTGAGGCAATATGGCATGCCCTCAGGGCCAGAGCTTTTTAAAAAAATTAATGGTGATGGGTGGAATAGATCAGGGAAATGACTAAGCATTTAAAAGAGGCTATCACAGTAGTCTAAGCAAAAGAGGATGCCCTAAAATTAGGGTGCCATGTCTGTTCTGTTCACCACTCTATATCCAGTGTGGGTCCCAGGGCCAGGCACAGGGTAGGTGCTCAGTAAATATGCAATGAGTGAGCATATGGGAATGGATTCTTAAAAGATAAGTAACAAAGAATAAGGAGTCTTGGTGACTTGGTATCATTCATAGAGCCTAGCAGTGCCTTGCACAGAGTAAATCCTAACGAAAGATCTCTTGAACTGATCTGGACCCGGCTGAACAGACATGGAGGACAAGAGTGGAAGACTCCAAGCACTCTTCGAGAGAGGCTGGGGACATGCTGGTTCCATGAGTGCGGAGTGATTTCTCAGGGGACGTGGAAAAGGAAACCAAGTCAAAGTGGTGTAATAGCAAGAACCATCTAAGGCAAGGTGAAAGACTTCAGTCCGGGTCCTGCCCTGCAAATGAATGTGCATATGACACGGAGCCAGTAACAACCTCAGAGGCTCTCTTGTAAGGAGCTTTCTACAACTAACCCATGGCCCAGCTATACATTGCTATGATTCTACACTTTCTCTCAGATAATCTAGGCAAGACCCAGGAAGCTAAAATCCCTAGCTCTTCCTTTCCTTGAACTCTATTTCAGGAAAACATATCCTAATACCAAATACCACAGTACACACAGGCAGGGCTCACTGGAGAGCCAGACTGTAGTTGTGATTCGAGTCCAAGTTGTTCTAAGTCTATGATCAGTCACCTGGGTAGCTCATGGCCGCGGGAGCATCACTGTTCACAATTCATTATGTTACAACAACAAAATGCTATAAACTTATACTGCCCTTATATCTACTCTGCCATATGCAGATTAAATCATACCGTGGCTGTTCCTCAATTCTGATGAGTGGGGATGAGGGGCAAAGGGAGAGGGATGGAGGGGCAGAATTTATTTTTACAATGACAGGTAAAAAAAAGAACAGGTGGCTAGCGGGTCTTCTGCCCAACCAAAAACATCTGTTAACATTAAAGATCACACTTTCCTTAAGTTACTTTCCAGTAAAAAAGAAACACAACTTGAACAAGTAAGCCAGATAACCAAAATGTCCCCTAATTTCTTGTTATTTTTTCTTATAAGTAGCACCTGTTCAGCATACTGGAGAATACTTCAAATCTGGAGAGCTTAAGAATGAAAGATAAAATTAAAATTTAAAAAGATAAAATTAAAGCCCACCCAATAAAGACTACCCAGGTCATCCACACCATACCAATTCTGTCTTGGTCATTTTGTTTCCATAACCCACGTTGGAAAGGTAAAACCTGGGGATATTATTCCAGGGTTCCAAATCAAGTTACACCTACAAAATGTTGGCTACCCAGTCATGAGCTGTCAGGCTAGTACCCAAGACTCCAAGTGGTAATGTCCATTCAAGCCCTGTGAGAGGTACCTGGATAGAATCACTTACTTTATAATGAACACTGGCTCTCCATGTACTCGTCCTCCAAGCAATGCACGATAAAAAATATGGGGCTCTACACAGTCATAACTTAATCATTCCTGAAGTAAAGATACAACACACCTGGTGCTATATAGTAAGAATAAATTGTAGGCAAAATTTCAAACACAACTCTTTCCAGCTAAGGGTAGGGACAGGGCAACTCGGTCTTTGTGCGGCTAGGTCTACAGCCCATCCGTTTATTGTATTGAAATTTTCAAGCCCAAAGTTTCCCTAGTCACACAGAACTACCACCAGCTGACCTTGGAACATGCTTGTTTGTTAGAAACAAAAGAGGTGAACAGTCCTCCCAAGTGACCCTGGAGATAAAACACGCTCATCCATTCCTATCTTCTCCACCACATTTTCATGAGGCACCAAACAGTCCTCTCAAAGATGAATGGTTTTAATAAGCTACTAACAACTGGGTTTCCTGTGCAGTAAGAATTTCTAACTCAGGGCAACTCCGCATTTCCTCCCAGTTACATATGTCCTACATGGTTGCTTCAATGGTAAATAGCCTCAGCAACTCTCCCCCTTTACCTCTTTGTTGAATCCACAGCATTTTAGGATTGTTTTTGCAAAGGCCATATGCAAAGAGAGTCTTTTTCAAGCATAGTACATGAACTTCTCAGCACACGTTGCGGTCTTTAAAGCAGTGCCTCTCAAGCCCCACAATGAATAGCCATTACCCAGCGAGTCTGTGGTGATCAGGAGTACAGCAGTTCTGCTTGCAGTTGTAAATCTTAACACTGACTCTCCTAGCCCAAATGCATGGCCCTCACCCCAGCATCTTCATCCCATATTTCACTGGAAAATGTTCTAAGTCAACAAAAATGATGTCTTCAGAGACAGAGTGCCTTAGTAAATACAGTAACCGCAAGGGTCCATGTGCTCTACGGGGAAGGAGAGGGAGCCCAGGGAGGCTATGGGAGATCCTTAAGAAACATTAAGATTTGTCCTCAGCATTGCCTTCCTTTTACGGGACAATGCCTGAGAACGCCAGAAAAGTTGCATTAGTAAAACTGCATAGAGTCTACACTGCACAAAGTGCTTTGATACCAGTAACATGATCCTCTTCATACTTCATCTTTTCAATACATCTTGCAAGGTTTGTTTTCAAAAAGACATTACAAGCTGGCAAGCATCTGCTTAGAAAAAGCAGTCAAATCCTTTCCCCTTCACCTCTATGAAACCCATCATATTTCTGAGCTTTACTCCCTTCAGATAAACCACACAGAGGCAACTTAACCCTCGGGAGTCAACAAAGGACAACATTCCAGTGTGCGTTCAGGCAACGAAAGAAAGACTTCTGCAGATACACAGCATTGAAGACTGTTTGGAACTGTTGATGATCTGTAAAAATATGTTCAAGGTTCTTTCAACAAAAGATTTCAATTCAAGCAAGATCACAGGGAAGAACGAGGACAGAGTCTTAGCTGTGCCTTTGCATGTGTTTCGTCTGCTGGGCTTTTGCAAGTGACTGTGGCTGTTGTTGGCTGGATATGGAATTCCTTTGCCCTCGAATCTTCTTCATACATCGGAAGCACAATCAAGACTAAAATGTTGTGTTTATGTCATAGCTCTTCCAAGAGGTTTAAAGCGCCGAATGTTACCACATGAATCCTCACAACACCCCTGTGAGGTAGGTAGGTGGAGAGTATTGTTAGCCCCACCTTACAGGTGGGGGAAATGAGGCACACAAGAATTAAGGGACTTGCCCAAAATCACACAGCTAGTCACTGGCAGGACTGAGAAGAAAACTTATACTGATTAGCACCTAGCACAGTGCTTTGCACATAGTAGGTGTTCACTGAATATCTATGGATTTTATTTGAATTATCTCAACATACAATATACACACATAAAATACAAGCAGTCACCATAGAACATTTGTCTCCTACATTTCTCCTGATGACTTCGCTCATTACTTCGAACCCACGTGGATGAAGGATGCTTGAGAATCCGTCTCACAACTAAGCCCTCGGGTTGAAGAGGATCTACATAAACACGATCCACAGACAACCTGTTCTTGCATGGGCTCTACCACACAATGTTAGTTTTCTAATGAAAACAAAAATGGATTTCAGGAACCATGCTGACATTTTTTTTTTTTTTGCCTGTTTGTTTTAAATGGAGCCATCTGAATGGTTCTGTGTTTTGTTTGTACAAAAGGAAATAAGGCTGCTAGAGTCCAGTTAGCTTGTGAGAAGTGTGCCAAGCACGAAGATTTCCTCCCAGCTGAGATGGATTTCTACCTGGGAAATTGGACCAACCCCAGGGTGTGGCAGAAGAGGGTCAGCGAGGCTGAACATCACTTGCACTGTTCGTGGTCTGTGTAGTCATCCATGTCCACGTCAGAATCAAAGAGCGAGTGTCCAGTGAAATCTGTATCTGGGGTTCTGGAAAAACTGTTCTCTGCTCCCTCATCTTCAAAGGTCTCTGTCCTTGAGTAAAAGCTGAAATCCAGCAGGGGTGTGTGGGTTTTGCTTCCTTCGCTGCTCTCCTCAGATTCATAGATGGTGTTGTCATCATCGTGATGCCACTCGGGCCAGAATTTCCTCCTTATCCTCTCACAGTACATGGCAAGGTTGATCAGCTCACCTGTGGGGGGGCGGGGGGTAAGGAAAGCCAGGGTTAATTCTCAAAGGCAGCAGTCTCTCAGCTAGCCACTTGGCCCAGGGAATTGGGAAGAATACGGTCGGGGAGACGTTTACAATGTTTTTCCACAGAGGGACCATCAGATATTTAGGTTTTCATGCACATAAGAAGAATGGTGAGTGGGAAAAGTTAAATTTCTGAGTGGGCTGAGTGAGATTCGGGAGAGAATCTTATGGTAATGAGGGGAGGTGGGTAGTTTATCCAAAATGGCAGCTAAACTACCATCATTTGGCTCTGTAAAGCATTATAATTTTATGTTTGCTTATCAAGAGAACTGGTGCTTCGACGGTTCATATTTAAATGAATTTATAGCCCATGAAAATACACCAACGGTTAGTTGGGTTAAGTCAGCCAGAAGTAATCATTCATTTCACAAACATTTGTAGTGTTATTAAGAACTGGGTACTAGGCCAAGTAGTTGGAAAAAGTTATGTTAAGATGTAAATTTTTCCCTAAATAATCCTAAGTAAAATGGGTAACTCAGAACTGTCTATGGATGAGTGTGCCCACAGGCACATTTAGTAAAACAGGTATTTTTTTTTAATTTTTTAAAATAAAACTGAACAGCTACACCCATAATTACATTCCCACTCACTGGGCTACTTCTTTTTCATGCGAATCAAAGGAACACTTTTGTTAAGTTGCTAAAATTGTCCAAGCATTTGTCTGAAACATGACACAGAATTTGACATTCATTTCCTAATTCCCGATGAAAAATGAAGAGAGTGAGTTTTTGCCTTTGATCCACCAGATGGCAACATTGCTTACAAATACATAATTTGTCACTATCCCTTACAGGATTTCATTGCCCTAAGAATATTCTTTGGATGTTTGTTTTTTTAGAAGTCATACAAACATCTACTTATTATATAGGTGATCCATGTTTTATTGCAGGAAATTAGAAAGTGATGGATACGCAAAAAGTAAAAGAATTACCAATAATCACACCCACTGTAATAACATTTTTATGTTCTTCCAGAAATGTATATACTTATATACACACTTACATATATTTATACTTGCTATTTAGCATTTACTATATATTCTGTTTCTTCACTCTACTTTTTCCCACTTAACAACCTTAATAAAAAACTTTCAATTTCACACTTCCACCTTGATAACTGCACAGTAGTTCATTATTCAGATGTACCATAGTTTCATTTTGTTTTTACCACACCCCCTTTATGGCCATTTAGGGTATTTCTATATTAATGCGTCTATTGATTATAGTCTTTATTTTATTTTCTATCAAAGAATATAATACAGGGTGCCTGGGTGGCTCAGATGGTTAAGCATCTGCCTTCGGCTCAGGTCATGATCCCAGGGTGCTGGGATCGAGTCCCGCATCGGGCTCCCTGCTCCTTGGGAGCCTGCTTCTCCCTCTGCCTCTCTCTCTCTCTCGCTCTGTCTCTCATGAATAAATAAATAAAATCTTTAAAAAAAAAAAAAAGAATACATTCTCATTTTGGAAAATTAGAAGTCTGTATATAAAAATGTATACCATTTAGATAAGGAAGAAAACAAAAGGCACCTATAAATCTCATCAATCCAAGGTCATCACAATTAAAATTTTGGTGTAATTTATTTCAGCATATTTTCTATTTATTTATTGTCATTATTACTACTTCCTGTTACTTTGCATAACATTATTATATACATTTTCCCATGAAAATTTTTCAAAACTTGATTGCTGCTCTGCTTCAATAAAGCTGTTCCCTATAAAATGAAGCAAATCCCTCTACTCCATGGACCCTAAAAACCGGTGGATTAATATTGGTTCCAGGTCACCATTTTCAGTTGCCTCAGATCGTAACAGTTCCACTCACCCTATGCAAGAGTCCATTCTGGTTGCCCCATACTCAAGGATTGTACGTACACATGCCCAGGAGCCAGAAGCCGAGGAGCCAACACCCGTGCTCCTTGAAATGATGCAGACAAAGCCTTCGCTTAGATTCTCCCACAGGGAAGCAGTCAGGAAACCCCTCACCAGGTATTGCTGCCAGTCCCAGGTAACCCAGACTTGGACAAAGCTGTGGAGGCAACTGCAAAGTTTGGCCGGGGAGGTGGGGGGGATTATGGTCACTTCACAGCAGGGTCTGGGGCAGCTGCGTTTGCCTCAATCAAGACCATTCGCTATGAGCTGGTTAGCAAGCAGCTAGAAAGTCATAATCTATTCACAGTATCCACAGGATCTATACCATATATGGTTCTAGCCACTTCTTCTGTGGCTGTTTTTTCCACTGCCAGTTTTCTCGCTTTTCTTCCAGGAGAGCTGCCCTGCCTTCGTCCTGTGTGACATGAATACCCCTTCAGCGTGCAATAAAAATTAATAATAACAGCAAACATGCATATAGTCCTTACTGCGTACCAGGCACTGTTTGAAGTGCTTTATTCATCTGTTGAATTAGTCCTTGCAACAATCCTATGAGGCAGGAACTATTATTATCCCCATCTGTCATGGGAACACTGAAGCAACCGAGAGGTTAATTAACTTGCCTAAGGTCACATACCTAGAAAGTGGCAGAGCCAGGATTCAAACACCCAGTCTCCAGACTCCATGCCCTTCACCACAAATCTAATCTCTCTCTCTCTCTCTACTGATGAGCCGACAGCCTGGCTTGGGAATTAATAGCTGCATACTCCCTGTCACAGAAGATTGTTCTGTAATTCTTTTCAGGATCTCAAGAATTATGAGGAGATAGGTGCTGCCCCTCAAAGATAATGAGTTGTCAAGAAGAAGTGATCATTCTATTATGCAGTCCAGAAAGGGATTGCTTTTCATAAGCAAAAACTGGGAGCCCACATACCCATCCTCATATCCTGCCACTGATAAAAACAGTGGAATAAAGAACGAAATTTTCTGGTTGAGTTCTACCCTGTCTGGCTTTGCCAATCCCTTCTGTCCCTGACCCACTCACCGTGCTACCAGCCAAAAGAATAGAAAAAAGTTGGCACTAGAAACAGGCTCTGTGTGTGTGTGTGTGTGTGTGTGAGAGAGAGAGAGAGAGAGAGAGAGAGAGACAGAGATATGCCTGTGTTAACATAAATGTCTATGTTGAAGGTGTGAACCTTGTGAAATAATAGAAAAACTGCATTTTTTTCAAAGTGTACTCAATAATCAGATTACAACTTCATACATCAAACTGGTAAAAATTAAAATCTGATAACATCCAATGTGGAGGGTCAGGCATTGTAACTACATGTCTGGTGGAATTATAAATTGCTATAACCTTTTTTGGAAAGTAATCCAATGTCATCTGTTGAAATTCTCTAACTGTTGGTTCAAAACTCCACTTTTATTTCTCTATTCTACTAAAATAAAAGCACCAGTATGTAAAGATATATGTATTTGGATGTCAAGAGCATTGTGTCAGTAAAAAATAAAGAAGAAAAGAAAGATGAAAATGGCCTGAATGTCCATCAGTAGGGGTTGACTGAAGAAATTATGGTGTATCAATTCTATATATTTTGCAGCTGTTAAAAGGCATGATATTCTAGTAAGTGAAAAAAGGGAGTTATAAAGTAATGTGTATAATGCAATTCCACTGTTTAGTTTAAAAATAGTAAAAACAAACCAAAACTACTATATACGTGTATGTAAATTTGCACATGAAAAAGAAAGGCACAGAAAGATTCATTCCAAATTCTTAATATTGGTTATTCCATGGGGGTGGATATTGGACATGGATGAGGGGGAAGTCATAAATCTTTTAAAATATTCCTGTATAATTCAACCTATTTTGACAATCATGTATTTTTAAATTTAAAGTTCCAATAAAGTACATTAGTGAAATACTAATGAGTGATAAGTGATATGCTCAGACAGCTTGAGAGGCTATTTATCAGAAAGCCAAATGGTCCTCGACCCAGAGGTCACTCCCAAAAAGAATAAAGAGCTTTTCTCAGAGTTTCTTCAAATGGAACTATCCCCTGCCGCTCTTTGAAAAAAAAGTGACTCATTTTATTTTCCTGTATCACTGCAATTTCTCTAATATTCAAAAATATTGTGTACAATTTGACACTGAAAACATTGTCAACCAGGCCCAGAACCCAGGGCTCAATTTCTCCCAGCTGCCAACTGTGCACAGCAGGAATGAGAGGGAGGGAGAAGCGAGGGGGGAGCCTGCCAGCATGTCCCAGCTCCCCCTGCCCAGCCCTCGGTCATTAACCGGCAAGTTTTTGGAATACATGGGGCCGGCACCCACACGAACTCATCTGATCTGCAGGCATTTACTCGGCACCTCCCTGCTGCAGACCTGTGTGAGGTGCTGGCCATGCCCGTGCTCGCTCTCTTTAGCATTCTGTCACAGGCAGGGAGGGCATGGAGCATGTGCTCTTCCAGAAAAGTTTGAAACAAACTTGAATGGTGTGATGAGGACACCACCTTCCCCTCATCTCCTGAAGCTAAAGGGTACTGACTCAGAGATCGCAAAATACAAATACCCACAAAAGTCACCTGAGCCAGCCCCTCCCCGAGCCCCGAATGCCCCACAGCCACCTCTTCCTGAACATTCCAGATGGAGAACAGTAAGTGCAGGGGTGGGGACAGACTCAACTGTTTCTCAAGGAAATCCAGCACTTGATTGAAAGGTGGAAAAAGTTATCAATCAATCAGATAATAAGCAAGAAAAGACATCCAAGAGCAATAAATAACTGTTGGTAAAAGGGCTCCTGAATAAAGTTTTCCAGAAGCACACAGAAGGTGTGGTTGTCACAGATTCCGAAAAAGAGCATCAGGTTGTGCGGCTCTGAGGTGGCGCCACGTGGCGGGCGGACGCAGGGCACAACTGCCCGTCGGCCGCTTCTGGTCCGGTTTTCTGGGCTCTGCCATTCTCCGTGCCTGTCCCAAAGAGCGCCCGGATCCACGCGCAATTCTCTGAGAAGGACTCTCCGAACAAAATGTCAAATGTCACTCGACGACCTTGCTGATAGTAACACTGAGATTTTTTTACTGGAAAAATGGCAAAAATTTCAAAATAAATATTCGATCCTAAGGGAGGAATAAAATTTGAGGTGCTTTCAGACACTGCTCATGAGAAGACGCCCTGCTAGAAGTCTTTCTAGAAAGCAATTTAGCCATACAGACCAAGAGCTTAGACCTTTTGAGATAGAAATTCCCCAACTAGAAATTTGGCTTAAGGAGATAACTAGAGATAATAAGCAAGAATATATTTTTATACAATATTCACCAGAGAATATTAGTTAAAAAATTATGTGAAACAAGCCACAAGTCCAGAAAAAGAAGATTAATCACATCAATTACAATGTAGCCATAGGATAAGATATTATCCAACTACTAAATATGTTGTTTTAAGGCATATTTAATGACAAGGGAAACGGCCAGGACACAAAGTTAATTAAAACTATAGGTTTATAACTGTATCAACATCGTGATCCCAATTTTTGAAAATATACACATACATGTACTTGATGAAAGAGGAGGACACAAACCACAATATTAACAGTAGCTCTCTGTGGGTGACAAGGGGCACAAGTTATATTTTTTAATTTTCTATCTTTTCTAAATTTTCTCCAGCAAGGAAATAATATTTCATATATTTACATCTATAATACACAAACACATACTTAGTATATTTTAAGAATTGCTGAATATTCAACGTCTGTCACCTTACCTAAATTAAGGAAAATTTCTCACTGTTTTAGATGGCTCCGGTACACTATGTGGCTAGATATTGTAACTAATATCTAGAACCAGAAGCTAATATTATACATACACACTCACACACTTACACATGCGGCCAGGCCAACAGTGCTCTGGCTGTTCCAAAGCTAAGGCAGAAAACTGCCTGATCCAAGCATTCACGCTCCTGGATTTGAGCCAGTTCCAAAGCATACAGGTGCTTAGTTGTTTCTGCTTCTCCCTCCTCTTGTTACCTCTTGGGCAAGTCTCCACCATAGAAAGAGCAAAGGTGGAGAAAGAAGCAGAAACCAGAGTAGTATGTTGCCTATTAGCAGTTACAATCAGAAGCTTTGGAAGGGCATACAACCAATGACCAAAATGAGATTTAGAGACCCTCTGTGGACTTTAATGATTCATGCTACACCAGTCCCCAAGGAGAGCTGGAAGCTGCTAACTTGTTTGAGAACCAAAGTACATGCAACTAACTATGTGCCAAAGTCCCTCGCAGATGATGGTGTCGGATTCCCCCAAATGTGTGGGTGGGACTCAAAATTGATCCTCCAAAAAGGCTGACCCATTTCTTTAAAAAGAACACTAAATGTCTCGAGTCCTTCCAGGAAGTAAAAGTGAAAAGGGCCAAGTCATAAATAATTTAACAAAAGATTCTTCATTCCTATAAGAAGGGATTCTATAGAATTTGATAGTTCTACTCATAATGGGTACCTAAATGCTTCTGACTCATAACAGATGACGTCAGCCGTGTGTGTTAGTGTGCTTGCATGCATGTGTACAAGTGGGTGTGTTTGGGGTATATGTGTATAGAAGTAGGTGAGGAGATGTGGCAGTGTGTGTGCTCATGGGTGTGTAAGAGTGGTGTGCTAGGGAAGTGGAGGGAGGGAGTAGGAAGAAACAGGAATAGAGTGTAGATATAAAACATACCTCTAAATGAACTAAAGGGAACCAATATATTTTAGATGATTAAAATGAAGAGAAACTATTTTAAATGCTACAAATATCACCAATAGGATAACATGTTCTATTTAGGTAACTTCCAACACATTGCAAGACAAGGAACAGCTCTATGCTGATCACATAGGAAATTAAATATTAGTCCATACTATCCCTAGCTTCACCCAGCTGAAGTTCTGGAAGACCTTCAGTCAATGCCTGATCCATTCCAATGAGGTTTGGTAATGTATCTGAAGCCCCATCCCCACCAATAGGAAAATCTGGGGAATGATTCCTCCTGTCCTTAGCCTGGTCTGAACTTCTGGGCATGCACATGAATCACACACACACACACACACACACACATATGCACACACAGAACTACAGCCTTCACCAACCTTCCTATCCACCCACCTGTGGCCACCACACGAGTGGTGTTCACCTGTCTCAGTTTCTTGTATGATTCTGCCTTGCTTGGTTCCGACCATCAATCCATCAACATTAAAAACATTCTATATGCTATTCACTGGTGATTTCATCTACACCCCCAGCCTTCTCAGTTGGGGCACAAATACCTTGGTCAATTCTGTCACTCCCTTTCCCAAACCCAAATATTGGACTTTGATCCCTATTTCCCCAGCTCCCAGGCACTTGCTTAGGTACTTCTTCAAACTGAAGATGACTCGGGGCACCTGGGTGGCTCATTTGGTTAAGTGTTTGCCTTCAGCTCAAGTCATGATCCCAGGATCCTGGGATCGAGCCCCACATCAAGCTCCCTGCTCAGCGGGAAGTCTGCTTCTCCCTCTCCCTCTGCCCCTAAACCCCACCCCCCACTCCTGCTCTCTCTCTCTCTCACTCTGCTCTCTCTCAAATAAATAGACGAAATCTTTAAAAAAAAATTGGAGATGACTCCAAACAGTTCCCATCTACCAACACAGGAGAAGCCTCTCCCAGAGGCCCAGCTTCCATGTACATCCCACCCCACCAGTCTGTCCACCAACATACACACACACCAAGATCTGGTCCCTTGACATCGACCCACGTTGAGCTTACTTTCCCTGCCCCCTTGCGAACATGAATTTTATTCTTGGCTTACCACTCCCTCCAACCCCACACATATGTTCATTCATCCTTTACGTCTGGTCCCATTCATCCCCACTTCTACCCCCCAGTCCATAATGTAACTCTGGCAGGTCTTACAGCCAAGATCATACTACAAAGATACAAGATTATGTTTCTTTGGCCAAAATATACAACAATTACTATTACTAATAATAATATTTTACATAGTATCAGACTTACAAAACATTTGTTGACACTTCCCCCATTTTTCACAATCTGGAACTTACCAGCTTTACCACTCTCAATGTATAATCTACAGATACCCACTGGAATAGGAGAAAAGAACATTCTGAATTCAAATGATATAGAAACATATGTACTTATACCTACATGTGAAATATGTAACACCAGTTCAGACTCAAAAACAGCATCTAGATGGGCAATGTGTCCATCAGCCCCATAGCCCACCATGTTTGCTGCCGAACTAGATAGATCAGAAAGTGGCGAGACTTGGCACCAATGTCCCAAGCAAATTAAGGAAGACCAACTAAACAAGGGAACTAGGTGGAATTTAAGCCCCGTATCAACAAGTATTAAGTCCACTATGTAAGGAGCTGGTGTAATACACAGTACAATTTGTGTCAACTTTGTTGAGGACACAGTCTCGGCAAGATGGCAGGTGAGAAGCCCGGTCTTCCTCAACCCCTACACATCCTGAGCATAATAAACTGACTCCAGCCCTGGACACCACAGCCTGGTGTCTCCATAAAGCACAGTCAAGTTCACAGGTATTGACCCAGAATTCTCCATTGTGTTACCCCTACCCTTCACCCCACAGCAACTCCTAAAGCCTGAAGAGGTTTGTAGGGCTTGCCTTTGATCAGCCGTTCAGGTCTTGTCCCAGGTAAGGTCCACATTGCCTGTGCCAAGTGTCCAAAGACAGTGGCGTCGAGAGTAGAAAGCTTGGGGCCCATGATGTACTTCTTATCACCTGCAGCAGACAGAGTGGAGAGGTCACTGGGCTGGCCTGCACTGCCCCACGTGGTCACCATGGCGTTCAGCACACTCTATAGGTTCATTTAACTGTGTGTCAAAAGCTTTGCAGAGTCAAAATGCATGCACCCCCTTTATCTTAAAAAAAAAAAAAGAAACAAAAGGAAAACAAATTAATTCTGTTTGGATCAACCCATACAATAGCCAAACAGGGAAATAACTGGAAACATATCAAGAAAAGCAGGTAAGGGAGGAGAGTTCATGGGGAAAAGGGAAATCTGATCACCCACAGACCTCTGAAGGCACCTCCTTGTCTCAAAGTCTAGTAATTAAAACTTGAGATGCTTGAGAACACCTGGAAATTTGCTGAACCCATCTCAAAAGTAACCCACACCAAGCACACCGACCTCAGCACTTATTTTATTAAATTAAAACATTTCCTCAGGAAGAACTCAAGAAGTCTAGGCTACGTGGTAAGGTTTTCCATGCGGCACCATGGTCTTGGTAATGCCCTCACCACTGAACACCAGCTTCCACAGGAAGAGAAACTATGAAACTACAGGCCCCGCCCTGCAATCGGGTTGACGTACAACGATGTGTCGCATTGCTGCCCCCATCTCTCCTTTTCCATCACTACTGAACTAGCTCAGTCCTCATCACCTGGACCGTCCCCTCTGACCCATTAACACTGTCCCAAGTCCATCTCCCGAGGCACTGGCAGGCACTGTAGCGAACAGAGGCAACACAGGTGGAACTGGGCCCACCTGGTTCACATCCTGGCAACACCATTACTCCATGTGGGAGCCTGGTCGGTACTTAAGCTCTCAGAGCCTCAGTTTGCCCATCCGGAAAATGAGGATGATATTAACAGTGCTCACTTCTCAGGGCTATTGTGAGGATGAATGGCATCATGCACATGAAGCACTTAGCGCCATATGTCGGGACCTCAAGCATTAGCTTTCATGATAGCATCCCCTCTGTTTCTCCAGCCCATTCCGTATCCCACCTGACTTAAATCACTACAGTGCTCTTTTCACCATGTCACTCCCCTTCCCACAAATACTGTCAATGGGCTATGAAATGGGTTAGGAAAGAAAGTCCAAACTCGGAATTCAAGCTCATTATGCTCCGCCTCCAACCCATGTTCCGGCTTTCTCTGTCGCTCCTTCCTTACTCTAGCAAACCTGGGGGACACTGCCCATTCCCACACTTCATGCTTCCCAAGGTCACATCTTTGCCCAGGCTGCGCCCACCCCTTTCCCTGCCCCCCACTATCTGTATGTGCTCCCCACTTCTCTCATCTGGTAAATTCTATCCATCCTTCGAGGTCCAGCACGAGCCTCCTTCCAAAGCTTTCTCTGTCTATTCTATCTGGTGGTAAGGGAGTCTCAGCTGAGATAGCCCCATGTTCAAATGCCGCTATTATACATAGGACCTTGTAGAACCGTAAGAGGCCTTTTATGCCTACTAACCTCAATTTCTTGAACCATAAAATGGGAGGAATTGCTGGTTGTTTAGGCGAATAAGTGAGGTGACTCAAGGAGAGCACACAGCAGAGAGGTCTTCCCTCTTCTAGCCCAGTCTCCATACTGTGCTATGTGCTGGTTGGTTTTTGCTTGTTTGTGCATTTTGTCTTTTCAGCTAAATGGTAAGTTCTTTGAAAGTAAGAATAATTTCTTTTTATTAAGCAAACTCTAATGCAATGTTTACTACATACCAGGCATGGTTCTAAAGGCTGTACTCTGCAAATATCTACCCATTTCACTGTCCTTGAGTGGCAAGCGGACAAAAATTAAGCATCTGATGACTGCGTACAAACAAGCTAGGAGAAATGGCTGGAGTTGGGAATGCCAGTTAACAGACCAACACAGCACAATACCAGCATATGGAAATGTATCAAATCAACATTTTTTACACCTTAAACTTACATAATGTTTTATGCCAATTATATCTCAATTTTAAAAATAAGTTGAAAGCAACAAAAAAACAACAACAAATGGAACTGGAGATTATCTTTAAAAAAAAATCATTTCTATTCTATATTCCACAGGGACCAAGGAATGCCCTACAATATGCTCAACGTAACCAAACTATCTACTCTGGTGAGGACAAGCAAGTTGTCCATACCTGGACAAAAATAAAAAAGCAAACCGGGGTAAATCATTTGTTCTCAAGAGTGTCAGTTATTTTCTTGGGGTGCCTGGATGGCTCAGTTGGTTAAGTGTCTGACTCTTGGTTTCTGCTCAGGTCATGATCTCAAGGTTGTGGGATTGAGCCCCGCCTCAGGCTCTGTGCTGAGTGCAGAGTCTGCTCAAGATTCTCTCTCTCTGGGGCGCCTTAAGCATCTGCCTTCGGCTCAGGTCATGATCTCAGGGTCCTGGGATCGAGCCCTGCATCAGGCTCCCTGCTCAGCAGGAAGTCCGCTTCTCCCTCTGCCCCTCCCCCACTCATGGACATGCACGCATGCTCTAATAAATAAAATCTTTAAAAAAAAAAAGATTCTCTCCTCCTCTCCCTCCCTGTCTGCTCCTCCCCACCACACTCTCTCTCTCAAATAAATAAATAAAATCTTAAAAAAAAAAGTGTCCATTATTTCTTAATGCACCCTGCTGGCTCCATGCCTTCTCCTTAGGGCTGGCATTAGTGAAGCAGGTGGTACTTCATGGCCGGGGGACCCTGACCCAGAGCTCTTGTGCCATCCTGAGAGGGCAGAAGGGGCGTGCCAGCCAGTGATCCCTATAGGACTGTGCCAGGGCTCAGCCCAGTCAAGGCCCAAACCTAAGAAAGCCCACAATGCAGAAGCCATGGGACAGTTTTAGGGACTGTGAGAAGGGCCACACACTGTTTCAGAGAGAAGAAAAACAAGACAGAGGACAGCTGCAGGAGCTTCCTGCTCAGAAGGAAAAAAAAGAAAATGTTGATCTCCTTAATTTGATTTAAAAAGAGAAAGAGGGAGAGGGATTGTCTAAGGGAAATGCCAGAATGAAGTGTGTAAATTGAGTCTTTGTAGAACCCAAAGACTTTGGAGGCAAGAGGAAAAAATACATACAGATAAAAAAACAAAACAAAAACTTGGGAACCTAAACATAGAGCACCTGGGACCTTGATAAAAAGAAAAAAATAAATAATTAAAAATGTAATCATTTGGGGATATCTGGGTGGCTCAGTTAAGGGGCTGCCTTCGGCTCAAGTCATGATCTCAGGGTCCTGGGATCGAGTCCTGCATTGGGCTCCTTGCTCAGTGGGGAGCCTGCTTCTCCCTCTGCCCCTCTCCCTGCTTGTGCGCTCTCTGACAAATAAATGAATAAAATCCTTAAAAAAAAATGTAATCATTTGAATACATACATCAACTATGCATACAGTATTCAACCCGAATTTCCCATTTGGCATCAGAACATTAACACTGAAAATTCATGGATTTAGTTAGTAATAGAACCGGACTAAGAAGGCTGGCTCCCAGGTCTTCCGACCTCCAACCTCAGGCTCCTTGCTCTGTGTAATAGGCCCCTTGGGTCATCATCTCAGAGACAAACACCACCTGAAGGGTTGAGCTGTGATCATTTACCAAAAACAATGCTTTAGAGAGGAAGAAGTACGGAATACAGGAAAGAAAGAAAGAAAGGAAAGAAAAAGAAAGAAAGAAAGAAGGAAGGAAGGAAGGAAGGAAGGAAGGAAGGAAGGAAGGAAGGAAGGAAGGAAGGAAAGAAAGAAAGAAAGAAAGAAAGAAAGAAAGAAAGAAAGAAAGAAAGAAAGAAAGAAAGAAAGAAAGAGAAAGAAAGAAAGAAAAGAGAAGAGAAAGAAAGAAAGGGGAAGGAAGGAAGGAAGGAAGGAAGGAAGGAAGAAAGAAAGAAAGAAAGAAAGAAAGAAAGAAAGAAAGAAAGAAAGAAAGAAAGAAAGAAAGAAAGAAAGAAAGAAAGAAAGAAAGAAAAGAAGGGCGCCTGGGTGGCTCAGTTGGTTAAGCGACTGCCTTCGGCTCAGGTCATGATCCTGGAGTCCCTGGATCGAGTCCCGCATCGGGCTCCCTGCTCAGCGGGGAGCCTGCTTCTCCCTCTGACCCTCCCCCCTCTCATGTGCTCTCTCTCTCTCATTCTCTCTGTCTCAAATAAATAAATAAAATCTTTAAAAAAAAAGAAAGAAAGAAAGAAAGAAAAGAAAAGAAAAGAAGTCTAGGGCTTTTTAAAGGTGCTTCCAAAAAAACTGATGGAATTTAGCATTTGTGGAAAACGTTGAATGGAGGATACAAAATCACAAGTGTATACACACACAACAGTGATAAATTTAAAGAATATCAAAATATACTGTTATCGAAAAGTCCTCAAGGACCAAATGGCAGGAAGCTTTTTAAAAATTTTATTTTGAAAGGATCTTAGATTTACAGAAAAGTTGCAAAAATAGCAGAGCTCCTGTATATCCCTCAATCGGCTTCTGCCAATATCAACATCTTATACTATCACAGTCCATGTAACAAACTAAGAAATTAACATTAATACAATACTATTAACTGCACTATTTTTATTAGTTTTCATATTTTATTCACATCTTATTAGTTTTTCAACTAATGCCCTTTTGTGTTGCAGGATCCAATCTAGGATCCCACATTGCTTGTAGGTGTCATGTATCCTTACTCTCTCCTCCAATCTGAAAATTCCTCAGTCTCTCCTTGTCTTGTATAACCCTGACACTTTTAAAGAATACTGGTCAGTTATTTTGTACGACGTTCATTAATTTGAGTTTGCCTAAGGTTTTTTATGATTAGATCAGGTCATGCATTTTTGGCAAGAATACCATGGAAGTCATAATGTCACCTTCTGTGATGGCTAATTTTATGTGTCCATGTGACTGGCCACGGAGTGCTAAGTTATTAGGTCAAACATAATTCTGGGTGTTTTTGTGAAGGTGCTTTGGATGAGGTTAACATTTAAGTGGTTGACTAAGTATTGCAGATTACCATCTCTGATGTGGGTGGGCCTCATCCAATTAGTTGAAGGCCTTAAAAAA